CACGAGGGCCGACCTACCTCAACCCTTTCGGGAGGAGGGCCGCTCGCGTCCCCGACCTGCCTCACTAGGTCGCGAGTCCCGATTTCCCCGAGCGATTTCAAAAGCAACTGCCATATTTCTTTTTTTTTCCCTCCTTTTCTACGAGGATCCACATCGACCCTCCGCGACCTCCTCAGGAGATGTCATAAACTGATAAAAATCTATGTCCCCCCGGTAAATCGACCTTTACGTCCACGTGGTTCCGGACCCCCGGCCTCGTCACGCAACGAGCGTGTCGACGTACGGTAAGCCATAAGTCGATAACGTTTACGTGTCAGCTGCCGCGTGTCCTGCATTAATGACAATAAGAGGATGAGAGGCCGATTCGCTCGGGACACTCGTCACGCTCCGGAGAGCGCCCCAGGGCGGGAAGTATAATATTGAAAAATCTCATTCAGTCGGAGGAAAGATCGACCTAAGAGGAGCTTCCGTCGGGAGGGAGGGAGGAGAGTCGCGCGCACCTGAGTGCCGCAAGCTCGCGCACCTGCGGACAGGTGTTCTTTATCGGCGAAATCCCGACGAGAGGAGGATGGTCGGACACTCGACGAGGACCAGGAAACGCGGGAACTTTTGTTCGCGGAGATACATCGCGGGAGACGCGTCCTACCGGGTACGTTCCTCGAGGAAAGTGTTCCGTAACGAGGCGACGCGTCCCGTCGCGACGGCGTTATGTGATCGTTTCTGTCCATGGGAAACTGGGCCGTTGTCGCATTGATTTCTCGGAAACGAGTCCATGCCCTCCCGATGAGATGCCCCTGGTATCGGAGCCGGAAAGATGCGGCATCCCCCTCGGCGGATGCCTCTAAAGTCGTCTTTGATATGAATCCATGATCTACCCTGAGGGGTAGGGGAACGTTAAGAAAAATCCAGGCACCCGGGTATATCGAGGCACGTTTTATTTTTATCCGAAAGCAGTCCAGAGAGGGCCGCTTTGTGTGTGAAAATTCCGGACAAGAGGCGGGCAGAACCGAGGGGCCATTGGAGAGCTCCGTCGGGTTCGTCCACGAGAGGGGTTTCTCCTTTTATTCGTGGAAACTGGGGCTAGGGAATGAACTCTCCTCGACGCGAATCGAAAGCTTGGTTGCGGCAAATCGGGGGAAAAAAGAAATTCCTCCCGCGCGCCGATCAGCTGATCGGGCGATCAGCTGTTCGCCGAGCGCGCGGCTCTTTAAGGAGCCTCCTGGGCGAATTTCGAAATTCCGAGACCGGCAGAACACGTTGGCGACAACGTGGATGGACACGCGATACTTTCGAATTATTCGCCCAAGCCAGCGTCGATATCGCGTCGATCACGTTTCATGCGGCCGTTCAGCCGTGGACAAACACGGTGCGGCTAGGATAATGATTTCTCGTCGAAGCCCCGCTTAAAGAGGAGTTATCGCCCGTCGCGGGCCTCTCATGGGTTCGGAAAGGCCTCGCTGAGATTTTCTCTATTTTCCTATCTACCTCTTTTATTTTCCCTTCCCCCCCGGTTACGAGAGAGGCGTTCGATATTATTTTTAGGCGAGCCGTCGTCTCGCGGTGCCGGATCTTCTTCCGGCGAGCGCGAGAACGGTTCGACGGGGCCTTTCGCGACCGGAATAAGAAAACTCGAGCGCGGTGGAAATAGAGCCGTCGAATCTCTCCTTCTCGGCCGAGAGTGGCTGCTGGCCGACTGGCGACCAACTGGAGCTCGCCGGGCCCAATTAAGCGCGAGTGCGCCTTAAGTGCGACGAGGACAATGTTCGAGCACGCCGACCGCGCGCGCCCGGCACGGAGGAAAGTGGGTTAATTCTAGCCCGGGAGAGGGAGGTCCCAAAGGATGGCTCGGATATTTGGGCCATGACCAGGTCACGATCGATGTAGCCCTCGCGACCGAAAAACCTTCGGGGGAGCTCGAGGGACCGAGCCGGGAAGAGAGACGGCGACTCGGAGTCTCCCTTTCGCGGTCCAGCGGGATGCTGTGCGAGCGGACGAGGGGACGAGGGGGGAGAATCGTGTCTCCTTTCTCGGCGACGGTCCGGCGAGAAGGAGAGGAGTCGTGGGGGAGATTTCGTGCGAAAATGCCGAACCGGTACCCGTGGTCGTCGGTGAAAATGGATAAAATGAAATGCAGCAATGAAGGGGGAAAAAAAAAGAAATGGGAAATATCGAACCCCTCGCTGGAAATGAGGACTTGGGGAGAGAGAGACGGTAATGGAAAAAAGGAATTTCGCGGGAGAGCGTGGGACAAAGGATTCGGGTCACTTTTGCGATATCATTATTCGTTGCGACAGCGAACTTCCTCCACGACTATATTCATTCCTGGTTCGGGAATAACCTCGATGGTCCGTCTTCGAGGTGGAGGCGTAATATGCGGGGGTTTTAATTTTTCTTCGATTTAAGGCGCGCTCGCTTTATGGGGAGGCGAACCTTGGCGGGATGCTCGGGAAGGCTGTGGACTCGTTTAGTTCTGCGAGGAGTTGTGCCGAACTTCTTGCGAGCCCCCGAGCGAGACTTGGAAGCTCTCTGGGAACGGCACGATCAAACGTTTATCTCGGGAACCGGGAGCGAAGCGGTTTTCCTAGGGAAACCCTCCCCCGGGCTTTGCGATCCTATGGAACGTCGAGGCTGGAATACCTTCGCGTTTATTTACGCGAAAACGCGGGCGATTCGCGTGGGACGCAAATCCCCTCGAATCTCTGCGTTCCCCGCCGGAGCTCCCATGTAAAGCGCACCTAGCTTCGGAGTACACCGTGTAAACGGAGTATTCTCGGCCTCAGGGACGAGGGAGATCGTATTACGTTGCATGGGGAAAAAAACCACCGAAAATCGATCCAAGGAATTTCGAGTAATCCGATAAGCGATGTACTCGAGCGACGAGTCGAGCGGGTAAGCCGAAATTTCGATTCCACTTAGATCCTCTAATGACGATGCAAAGTCGAAAATTCTATTCTACTTGGAACCTTCAATCGTAGTCCTGGAATAGATTTTGAAATGGTATAAAGAATCACTTTCGAGTGGTTGAGGTCCTGCTTTAGACCTTAGAAGTGGCGGATATTTTCGTTTCTTTTATTTACGGGCCTAAAGTAGGAAACTTAATTCGCATTAACACATTCGCATTGGGCTATTTTTCGACGCTTATCTTTTAACCCTTTTAGTGCCGGAGGCCGATATATCGGCCCTCGCTGCACTGGCGAAAAGTGCCAGAGCCGATATATCGGCCCGCACCTTGTAGCGCTTTACTATTCGCTTTGCGAGAGATCTCTATCTCGAAATAAATTTATAATACGTTATAAATAGTCTAACGAGAGAATTTCATTACGAGAGAATTAAAATAACAATACAACAACACCTATAACAACCTATAACCTATAACAATTACTTGTTTCGGATGAGATAATCCGTCCGGCGCCTACCATGTGCCTTGGAGTTATTTTTTGTTTCTTGTGCAATATTACTTATTTCGTTAAAAAATATATTGGAAATTTAAAGTATATACTTTGCAAAAAACGGTCTATATAAATTTATGATAAAAAGATGACTTTTCCTATGTGCAATTACGTTTTGAAACAAAGAACTCAATTTTTCTTTTTTTTTTTATCACTTATACCTTTGTTATTTATGTAATTTTCAATGAATATAGAAAAATTAGCGTCACTGTTTTATTCTCTATTTTGTCCTTAACCCTGCTTTTTGAATTATGTAAATATTGCTTTTCATTTGGTTTTTATGAGCCTTTTTCCAAGTCCTAGTAAAATCGTAGAATTCGGCCGGTTATCTTCGCATAAGCACCTCTTTTTCGCCCGGCACTAAAAGGGTTAAGGACGAGAATTTTCATTTTCCGATGCGAATGCGTTAAGTAAGACATGATGAAGAAAAGTCAATTTGGTGTTACTTAGGTTACGTGGGTTCAGAGTGGGGCTAAAATTTCGACCGCTCAGGTGTGTTTCCTCCAGTCGCGCTTTGCTGGTCACCTGGCCGGCATGAAAACGCACGATTCGAAGGGTAACCTTCGACTCTTTGCTCGATTTCACTCGCGATCGCCCGCCACGAGCTCGCCTTCCAGCTGCACGTGGAACACGATCGACGCTCGATTCCCACGGGAGAAACTTGAGGCCGATCGCGATCGAGTCCGCACCAAGAGGATCCATGGTACTTGGTGCTTTAGACCAAGAAAGCATGGAATCCACGTTTTCCAGAAGTGACGAGCAAAATCGTTCTTGGCCTTCCAGTCTCGGTCTTGGTCCAGCAAAAACTGCAATTCTTAGATTAAAACGCGATCCTTGGATCCGAATCCTCAGATCGTTATAAACGCTAACAATGTTGAAGGTGATGTGAAAGTGGCGTCGAAGAGGTTTAGTTTATAAAACTTTTCTCCCAACTCGGTTTACCGAATAGTTTGAAACTTTACAACGTGAATAGGAAAACTATAAGGAAGGTCCTGAAACTCATGAAATTTCAATTCTTTTCTAATTTGTTTATAGGTATTTTAAAAATAGTTTATAAGAAATGAAATTTTGCGAGTTTCAGGACCTACCTTAGGGTCTCCATATTCACGTTTTAAAGTATGAAACGATTTGAGACACCCACTTCGTAGAAAAGTTTTATGAACGATTGAGCTTTCGGACGCCACTTTCACATCCCCTTAAGGGGATGTGAAGTTGACTCTTAGAAAATGAAAAAAATTAAAAAAAAATTGATATTTAATAGTTGTCAGGACCTTATAGCCTACATATTAGCGTCGTAAATTTGGAAACGATTTGGTACGTGAGAAAAATTTCCGAGAAAAATTTCATAAACGAGACCTCTTCGACGCTACTTTCAGATTACCTTAAAGACTAGAGCATGGCGAAACTCGTATTACTACATTTTTACGCGCCGCAGAGTAAAGGGAGAAATCGGCGGTACTGAGGACGATCGATGATCGATTCGGCGGGGGGTTTCGATTACTTCGGGGTCACTCGAGCAAATTCTAACTCTCGATCCTTTTTATGTTCCAGGCACACATGAAGTTCCCACCGGATTATCCGTACAGCCCGCCGAGCATTCGCTTCATGACAAAAGTCTGGCACCCGAACGTGTACGAGGTGAGCGAACAGCGAGAATTATCGATTTCCCTGTCCCTCCGGCGCTTTCTCTTTTCCGTCCCCTCGTCGGCCGTGGGCTCTCTTCCGCCATTGAAATTTTTACCTTCCAGCGCGGCGCATGCAACCCCGTACCCACGCGCTCCGATGCCCCGTCCGGGTTTAAAGGGACGGACCCGCCTCTGCCGGAGGGCTCCTAGAGTTGGCCTTTCGCCGCCGAGGTTTACCGACCCTGCCTCTCCCTCGTTAATGCCGTCCCGACCTTTCCTCGCGGACGTCTCGAAGATCGTTTACGAGGATCTTCAGGGTCGGTACCTCGTGCCGCGCTGAGTCCCCACGGGCCAAGTGGGTCCTCGGGGGGAGCCAACAGGAGGACCCGCGATTTTTCCCTCCAAGTCGGACGAGGATTTAATTAACAGTCATAAATGACGGGCCAGATTAATGTCCTTTGTCTGGACTCGATGGCGCGGAGCTGCGGAGTCGTGTCCGGCCGTACCGGTGCGGAGGGCACGGGTCGTGCCAGCGAACGGGACGCGAGACGAGTGCCGGCAATTAGGTGGGCAGGACAGTGCGCATTTCCCCTGCATAAGGACAATGCAGCGTGCCTGGACACGGCCCGAATGCAATCCTCCGCTGGTACGCGTGCACGGAATGCGCGCGTAGGGGGGCGATGATTTAAATCAGCTTCCGAAAGAATCGCCGCCCTCGCTGTACCTGACCGAGTCGAGACCTTAACCCTACATTGCGCTTAATGTAACTGAACCCCTCTTTTCGTTCTATTACACTTCCCGAGTCTCGAGGTCGACCTCGTCCATCCAACTTAATACTCCAGTGTCTCCCGCTTCCAGTCTACAAAGCGGTAGAAATGGAAGTACCCGTCACTAGTGGTCTAAAGTAATTCAATTATACAGAAGTTGTCCTGTATATCATCTCGAAACTCATTTAAGACCTACCGTTACAGGCATTAAGGTGAAGTGAAACCCCTTTCAAATCAGTCGAGTCGAATACAACACTTTTTTTAAGGGTATTAGACCAAACTGTCCGAAACTTTGACACATCACTCCTGATCATCTATGAATTGTTCTGACACATTCAAAATTTGAATTTTGGAAAAAATTTTTCGATGAATATACAATTATTGAAGGCTCTGATATGAGAGACGAAAGGGTCAGGACAATTTTACGACAATTTAGAACACTCTGGAAATCGATAAACTCGCATTTGAATGGGATAAAGGCAAGAAAAAAGTGTTGTATGCGCTTCTATGCTAAAACGATGGTAATACGAGGTCTCGGAGTGAAAATTTAATTGACCTGGAAAGCACAGATGGCGCAGGGGGTCCCTCTGTAATCAATTAGGGCCCCAGAAAGCATGAATTTAGAGGATTTCTGGAGTTTTACTTCGATCTTTTTATCATTTTTGCACGATAGCGACGGGTGGAGTATGCCATTGGTACAACACCCAATATAATTCGACACAGCTGTCAATATAAAAACGAACGTCGGCAACGTAGGCATTTAGAAAAATCTTTATCGACTTCGATCAAGTTATTCGACGTGTTTCACTTCACCTTAAGTAAGATCAAAGTTTCGAGCTGGACAAAGAACGCGACAGTGGCCGAAAGTTGGAGAAATCAAGGGCACAGTGGCGGATATTAATGCCTTCCCATCGTGCGCTGGTAACGGTTCGCCGGGGTACACGGGTTTGTTGGCGATACCTGGGGATGGTCGTCTCGTTGATGACACGACTTCGAGTTCCCTCGGCGGTGATAAGCGGATTCGATCGTCTTTAACGGTGGAATCTGCAGGTTCACGTCGAACCTTCAATACGTTCCCGGCCTAACCCTGACGTCGTCGGTCCCCGTTCCTTAACCTCTCCGTCTCGGTTCGAGGGATCGGCCGACTCTCTCGAGAGCCGCGGACGCCGAAGAGCCGAGGAGTCAACGACCCCCGAGGTTTCGGCACGTAGCCTTCCTTCCTCCGGGTGTGGAAAGAGGAGGGACGCGCGTGACGGTCGCGCGTGTGCGTCGCGAGGGACGCACCAACGCATCCGGGACGCGTCGGCAAGATTCCCCCGAGTCGACGCCAGGAAGGATGCGCCCGATTACGTCGACCCTCCGAATATTCGCGTCATAGCCGGGAAAAGAGGGAGGGATTCGAGTGTCACCGGGGCCTCGTCTTTTCCGAGCGTACACGACGCGTCGATCACCCATCTCGAGTGATCGACCACACATAACCTGTAAAGTAGATTAAAAGGGCTGAAATAATTCCCGGAACCCTTGCGTTGGTGAAACGAAATCTAAACAGGTTAATGACTTCATTAAATATACGTGGGATTAATAATGGCCTCGAAATCCCTCCCCATCTCGAATGTTCTAGACTGAGGAAAAATTGTTTATAGGAGGGTTTGGGATGGCCGGTGGACGGCTCGCGGGACTTGCGGCAGATTTTAGGTCTTGGAGCCAGGAATTAACGCCGGGATGGGGGGAATTAATCGTAGAGGATGTAATTTGGTAAATTGTTAACGGACCCGACGCGCAGCCCGGTGTCGGCGACCACGTGGGGTGGGCCGCCATTTTTAAAGGGTCGCGACTCCGCACGTGGCGCCGCGATATCTTTGCGTTCACTTTTCGGCCGTTCTTTATAACTCGCGACGACCATTCGTTATCGTCGGGGTCGGCTCCAGGAAACGAGCGGACGTCACTCCTAGGCCACGCGGAAGAACAATAATAAATTCTTTATCGCGCCCGGGGATCTCAGCGCGAAGGTTTTTTTTTTCTTTTCACATCGCGGATCGCTTTTATCCCGAGCAGACGTCGAACGTTTACGCAATCGGATCGCGTCTCGCGACTTGCGGCCTCCTCCTTTTTGTTATTTTTCTTTCTTTCCCTCTCTCTCTCTCCCTGTCGCTCCTTTGATTCTTTACACACGTCTTCGAGCGACTCCGCGTTGCAAAACAACGCTCCTCGTTGCACTTCTTGCCGCGGCCGGTTCGCGGAAGGAAGGGTTCGCTGAATAGTGATTTCCGCCCGGTCGGCGCTGCCCTGAAGAGTCATCTCTTTCTCTCGCTTTCTCTCTCTCTGTCTGTATCTCTACCTCGGCTCTCTGCGAGTGACGCGACCGCCATTTTGCCGACGGTGGAGATGTGACGAGTCGAACTTCTCAACTCGAGATGTCTTTATTGTAACTCGAGTTTTCGACACGAAGGGCTCCGAGTTATGAGCATGGCAGCGAAAACGAGTTGTCCCCTCGTACCGAGATACCGATCTGGCTTTATTATTCGCGTCAATGACGAGTCGTCGAGTGAATCCTCGACTCGAGTAAAAAACTCGAGCTGGCAATATTTTCGAATCCGAGTGACTCGAGTTGAACAATTACTCGACTCGTCAGCGTAAGAGCTGATTAATGCACGGTTTACTGGATCAGCGTCTAATTTCTGGTTTCGCGTAGGCTGCTCTTTAAGGTGATATGAATGTCTGATATATACGTACCAAAAAGTCCAAATGTGTATAAAATTTTTCTCCAAACTGCGTGCACCGAATTATCTGAAACTTTAACGTGTAATTATGGAGGCCCTAAGGAAGAACGCAATGCTCGTGAAATTTCATTTTTCGAAAGAAAAAAATGTCTTTTTTGGTTCTTGTCCGACGTAAAAACAAATTTTTATTCGAAAAATGAGATTTCACGACCATCGCGTTCTTCCTTAGAGCCTCCGTAATCACGTGTTAAAGTTTCAGATAACTCGGTGCACCCAGTTTGGAAAAAAGCTTGATAAATATGTTGACTTTTTGGTACGCATGCATCACACTTTCATATCGTCTTAAATCGCGGAAAATACGTCGTCGTTCGATCGACATCGATGCAATCAGCGATGTCGATCGGTGGAGACGGGGGCACTCCTTGGGGACATTTAGCGGATTACTCCTCTCGTAGACGTCGGCTTACATAAATGTCCGGACCCTGCTTCGGGGTTAGCCGACGGTAACGGGTTATCCGGATATCCTGTCGGCCGGATCGTGTTCCGCGTCGCGATTACAATGCGCATCGCGCTCGATGGGAAGAGCATTACTCGCGTTTTATCTTCCAAATTTCTCCAGAAACAAAATTCGGGTAGGAAAATACGCGATCTTGCTCCGCACTTCCGGCTGGCTCCCTGAAAACCAACGGTGGTCCATTTAAACGAATTATCTCGGTCCCCTCTCTCGGACTCTTTGTTCCAGAGCCTGTCCAGGTCGTGCGAATTCTGTCCGCTCTGTACAGGGTGTCCTGAAATCCGTAGTAACCCCAGAAACTGGCGGAAGTTGACGGAATTTGACGTCTAAACTTCCTCTTTGACTTCTCCCTCGGGAGATTATTTACCAAGTTATTAACGATTAAAGTTGCTCACCTCTAGGTTACAGATTGCTTTTTCTTTCCGTGGTTACAGGTATCTTTTCAGGGACTGGCGCTTATTTCAAACATTGTTCTTTTTTTTTTTTACGCGTTTAACCCTTTGCGGTCGCATTTTCCCAAGATCATGAGAATTTTGGTGGCTGAGAGTAGACATACGACCGCAAAGGGTTAATACTACCTTTCCTCGGAATGTATATCGGGTAGGGAACGGTTACCCGAGAGCGACTCTTTCTCGGAGATCCTCACCGTGTTGGTAACCTCAGGGACGTCTCTCTTTTTTATTTAAAAAAGAATAACATTCTCTTTATCGCCGTCTCGTCGCGAGTGTTTTGTCGACTCAAAGGTGTGCTTGCGGGATAGCTCGCCGTGTCCAACTCGGCCCATTGCCATCGCCGAAGCATTTCGAAGCATTCGGACGATACAGAACGCGATCTGACGCAGCACGATGATCCTGCCGGAAGTCTCTCTCGGCATCCGTTTACGCGAACCTCGGGATCTCCCCTCTCGGGTCGTGAACAACGTGGGAACGAGCCTGTGATTCCGCTACTCGGTCCCGTACTTTTCGACGAGTTCGTCGAATCGAGTCGCCAAGGGTGCAACGCTCCCTGAGAG